AAAAACCCCTTTCTCGGTTTGGGCACCCGGAAAGTATCCTGCCCGCACAACAAATACACACCTTATCTTCACAAGACTCTCTTTCTCGTCCAACTAAGCCATCCCCGTTTTATTCTTTTATGACTTCCCCACCCCACTTAGTATCCTCTGATTTTTTCATCGACCGTTTAGTCAACCCTCCCATTCTCGGTCACCCCCCTTCACTTTCAGGACTTGGCACATGTGTCACTCGGGACGAAGGTTTCCACCTGGAATGCAAAAAGATTCCAATTAAGCGTAATTCTCAATGTATTGACAAGTCCCTACTAGCTCCTCGCTCTCAGCTTACGTTAGCCGCCTTCAACGTCCGAACCCTTATGCAGATTGGATCACAGGCAGCTCTCGCTCGCACTTTGGAGACTCTCGCCATCGATGTTTGTTGTCTATCCGAGACCCGAATTCAAGACTCTTGTACTGTACTGCAGCTCACCTCTCCGTCTGTCGATTCAAAAAGCTCGTTTACATTGCGCTTATCCGGGGACACACCTGCTCAAGCGGCTGGAGTGGCCGGAGTGGGAATTGCGTTAAGCGCACGTGCAGAGAATGCCTTGGTTGAATGGATCCCAATCAATAGCAGACTCTGTGCGGTTCGACTGGAGACCTCGGTGAAACCCTCGAAACAAGAGCGTACCAAACGATGTTTGTTTGTTATCTCTGCTTATGCTCCCACAGACTGCAGCTCGGATGCAGTCAAAGATGAATTCTACGAACGCCTCACCGAACTCCTCCACAAAAAGCGTCGCACAGACATTGTGGTACTTGCAGGAGACTTGAACGCACAATTGGGTAGATTAGCGGCTGATGAACGTGAACTTGGTGGTAGACATACTCATGGTTCTCATCGAACAGACAATGGCGAACGCCTCTTGCATTTTTGTGCAGACCACGGTCTGTTTCTGTCGAGTACCAATTTTCGACGTTCATGGCGTCAACGTGCCACCTGGAGACCTTCAACACCTGGTCAATCGTGGACTCAAATCGACCACATCGCCATCAGCTATCGTTGGCGAGGCTGCATAACTGACTGTAAATCAATATGGAGCACCTGCCTTTCATCTGATCACGCACTGTTATACGCTCGGTTTGCATTGCGTTTTGGTGGTTGCCCAAAACGTAACCGGAAACGGATCGATGCTGAGAAACTTGCCGATCCACAAATGCTCGAAAAATACCAAAAAGTGCTAGCTTCCAGGCTTGCAGTTGTCGCAACCCCAGACGTTGATGCACACTGGAGCCATATCCGTAGTGCAATGTACAAGTCCGCAATCGCTGTTTGCGGCTTCACAAAGCGTGCTGTAAAACACTGGATCTCCGCTCGATCTCTGGAACTTCTCGACGCTCGCCGGAACATTCCTTCCGGCAGCGAGTACAATTCTATCCGCAAAATTACAAACGCGGAACTCAAAGCGCATCTCCGCCAAGATCGGGAGGCCTGGTGGGAACAACGCGCGACTGAGCTGGAACAGGCTGCCATGTGTGGTAACCATCGAAAGTTGTTCCAGCTCATCCGAGCCACTGGTGGAAAAATGCCTGCTGTAAGTGAGACGATCTGTGAGGTAGATGGTGCGCCAATTCACAATTTACAACGGCGACTCGAACGTTGGGCGGAACACTTCGAACAGCAGTTCAACTGGCCTTCAGCGCCGTTGACCTTGTCATCCAGCACACAGAATGTTCCATGGTCTGTGGATGTTTCACCACCAACAGAAACCGAAGTTTCTAACGAGCTTCGACTTTTGAAGCGCCACAAATCACCTGGCCCAGACGAACTCCCTCCGGCTCTTTTTAAAGATGGGGGTCCTATCCTTATCAAGGAGCTCACATCCCTTCTTCAGAAGGTGTGGTCAAGCGAATTTGTTCCGTCAGAATGGGGTATGGCTGACATCATTCCCATCTTTAAAAAGGGTCTACGTAACGTATGCAATAATCATCGAGGGATTAGTCTTCTTCCAGTCGCGTCCAAGATTTTGGCCTCCATCATACTTCGCAGACTCAGTCGAGCACGTGAACAGAATATCCGCGAGGAACAAGCTGGTTTTCGTCCTGGTCGGGGTTGTTCAGATCACATCTTCACTCTCCGCTTGTTACTGG